CATAAAATGATTCTGTTGCCATGATTGAAAAAAATTTATTGATTCAGATGTAGATGTATCTTAAATGATACAATTAGACAATACTCATGTGGGATAGGATATGATACAATATCTCATATGACAAGATAGGATATGGACCTTTCTTATTCACTATTGCATAAGAAAATATTCAAATACATTTTCTTCTTTGAATAAAATGAAATATTCTGTGAATTTATATTAATTTATTTATGAGAACCAACATACATATTGGTTCTCAATTTCTTTGTATTATTATGATTTAAAATTATGATTTATCCACTAAGTGCTTATAACTCAACTATTATTTAATCAATATTTATAGAATAGGATCTTGAGAGTTAAGAGTGAGAGAAGAGAGTTTGTGCTGCGCAAATGTGGAGCAACAAGTGAAAGTTATTCATGTTATATCATGTTGTACAAACAATAGTAAATTGGCTGTTATTTGGGAATGGAATGAAACTTTTGTTATTATTAGAAACTTTATGAATAATGATTTTAAAATTATTTAATATTAGCAGAAGTACCTTTGTATCCATCTAACCACCTACTCTCGTCTTGGGACTACTAGGTTCTGAGCCAGGTCATGATATGATTAGATTGGCCAATCATGCTAGCATGTTGGAGGCTAATACATGAAGAGGGGTGTGTTTATTTTGTAGGATGATCTCCTGTTTATATAATAGGGGAAATAAGTCATGCCTTGGAGGAGCACTAAATAAACATGAGTCGCAAGCTATAAAAGGATGCTTTCCTAAGACAAAATATAATGCTAACATCTCATGTTCAAAGTAATAAAATAATGAAATTTGTAACTAGTTCAGAAGAAAAGTATCACGGATTTTATCAACAAACCTGGATTCCCAACCAAGTACTTCTGCAATTCCAGCAAAAGAAAGTAGAAAAGGAATCCCAACCTTTGATGCTTGTATCACTAGTTCCCGATGACCCAAATGGAGGGCATCAAACTTGCCAAGCGCAACTATACCACCTAAATTTTGGTGGAAGAAAACACTCAGAAAGAATTATATATCTAGAACGAAAACTCTCAGAAAGAATTCGATATCGTTGTATCAGTGAGAACAAACAGCAATTTCAATTGCAAAGCTTTTGCATGGGTGGGTTCCTCGTAAGAAGAAAACATGAACAATAATTTAGGAAAGTCCTTCAATTCAAATCTAATTCAATTTTGAATTGGATTGGAATTAAATCCTACTTTATTGGGATTCCAAGTCTTAGTCCCTTTCCTAAACCCTCCCCACTTCTTCATACCGCCCGCCCCTCTCCTTGCTCTGCTCTCTAGGTGAGACTGCCCCCGTAGCGTGCAGTCGTGTAGGTATGTCGATTCTGGCCCCCGGGCCCAACATATTTAAATTTTAATTACTTTCCAAACATAAAGCCTCTTCCATTGAAAATAATTCAAGCCCTTTCATCTTTAGAGGATTAATTAGGGAAACAATTACCTAATTTCCCTCCATCCTCCACCTTTTAAAATCTGAATCATATTTCCCCACCTCCCTCTCTAACCTAGCCGGCCCTCCCCTAACCCTAACTCCACCAAAATCTGAACCTAAACTCCCCCAAGCCTCCTACGCTGGCTGGCCATCTTCCCATACCTTTTTTCTTCTTTGATTCCTTGGAGAAACTTCTTTCTCCCAAGGAGAATCCTCAAGGGCAGCAAAAGAACGTCTTCCACAATACTTCAATGCCACGTATCTTATGCATGGCCGATCCTGAACTCGACTCCGGTTTCGTCTACAACAAACAAGGCTTTGTCAACATCCTCCGATCACCATTCTTTGACGTCAATCTGGACGTACATAATTCCGTCGAGAAATACTTGGAGCATATCATATCCTCTCTTTCAGCCATCGAAGAACAACTTTACACCATTCAACGGCAAATCACCACCACGCCAAGACAAGGGTGAACTCTTTCCCCCTCCTCAATCTCCTTCCTATTCTCCTTCAATTGTGGCAGTGTATCAATCATAAAGAATCTTGCAAAGCTCTCCGTCAAAGCTTAGTAAACATAGGGAATGAGTGATGGACTTTTATGCATCTAATCTCGTTGTTAATCTAGGGATGTTATTGGAAATCCTCTATATTTGCTTATGTTGAATTTTCTAATTGTTTTGTGATCCTAACTATTATTGCGTGACTTGGCCTATAAGCTAATGCACCCCTTTCTTGTTTTCTATTTTCTCTAAGCGGCTAACGTCTTAATTCTTATTGCACTCACTTGAAAGCATGCAAATTCTTTTATCAATCATTTATAGCATTCATAGTTCTACATCAATAACTGAGTAAATTTTTTGCACAATTAGGGCACATGTGGGGCATGTCTGGCTCAAATCAGGAATCTCGGGTTAGCAAAAATCCATATTTTATCGAGTTATTGTAAGAAGTAGACAGTTCATAGAATATTAGCTCATAATGGCCATATAGCACAACTTCACTACGTCATGAAGAAGCTGCCCTTGCGCAAACTATCAAGTTAGCGAACAATTGTAAGGGGGGTAGGGGCCAACTAAACTGAAGAACAATGTATATTTTGCTCCACTGGAGAAGATATCACTTTACTATAGCAAAAAAATTCAACTAAAGCTTTTGCCTTTCAGTATATTTTTAGCTTTAACAATCTAATGGCTTTAACATTCGAATGAGAATTTAAAACGTAATCAAATGATAAAAGGCGCAAAAGAGAAATGAGAAGCAATAAAATACAATAAAGAAATAATTAACTAGAATTACAAATAAAGCAGTATGAACAAATAAAACAACACTACTAGAAGGCTAAAGCATCCAAAAGAAGATGTATAAAGAAGAAAAGAAGACAAAGTAGGGGAAAGCATCTGATGAAAAAAATTACATGAAAAATAAAAATAAGAGTGCGTTATAGATCCCATTACAATATTAAATCAATAAAATATTCCAACCAATGTAAACTAAAAAATTAAATATGTTATCAATAATTTAAGTATTAGACAAATCAAAGCGAGATTTCCACATTCTCAAGAGACCAATCAAAATGATATTCACTTGAGCTCAATGCTATGTAATGTGCAGTTCACAAAGCTTTGATTCGGCCAGATGCTTTTAACAGCTAGGACAAAAGGCTATGCACAGCAGGCTTAAAAAACTGCACTCAAAGTACTATTAAAATACAAAAGAGATCAAGTAGAAAATTTTTATACAAGCTGTGATTCGTGAAAAGCACAAAGGAAAGCAGACGATTCAGAATTCAAATGGTTGTGAAACCCATCGGTTAAACCTTTCAATAACATCTCAAGTATGATAAACTCTGGAAGTAACTTACCGTGCAACTATCTTAAACTTTGAAAATGACGTTAATAACTAATTAACGAATATAGCAAGCATACAAAAAGAAGCGTACATAATAAGAAAAAAATATGAAAAAATAAAGAAAAGAAAGCAAACCCATTTTCTTGATGAGAAGAAATAAATGACTTATTTTAGCGTCTTTCAACTTAATTTATGCAAATTGAAAGATAGCCTAATCACAATACCACAAGGGGGGTAAAGACACGTCAGGTCACATGATAGTTATAAAATTGCACAAGGGCTATCAAGTAGGTTGGGTTGATCATAAGCCCATAAGCCCTACCCACTAAAAGCCTCAATGGTTGTCCCTAATGATTGTGGGCTAAAATGAGTTATCTTACCGGTTGAAAACTAGCCCATAAACTCATTAACCATTCAAAGGACTAAATGTGATCCTCCCCATCATCCATCATCAAGGTACTCAAACTTAAGATAAGAAAATGAGGATAAACATTAAAAAAAACTCTTCATTAAAAACTACAAATTCTTATATTATAAATTAATTATATAAATATACTTAATTTTGAGTTAGCTTAAATTAAATTTTGATCGAGCTAACATAAATTAAAAAAAAAACAAATAAAAATAATTTTTGGGGCTCAATACTCTCATTTCACACTTGATTCAATATGTTAAGTTAACTTTAATTAGACTAAACTAGCTTATCACGTTATATATTAATATTTATTGAAGAAGCATATTACATTATAGATAGCCTAAATAAATCTTACAAGGTAATGTACCAAAGCTCATCATAAATAAGAGATAGCCGAAGTTAAAAACGGGTTTTATAAGGCCTAAAAAATGAGCTTAAATGGGCTAGAACAACCCCTTGACACCCCAAAATAGAACTAAAATTATTTGAACAAAGTAGATAAAATATGTCTAAAATTGCAAACTAGAGAAAGGTGAATACGGAAATACAGTATCCCAACGAAAGAAATATAAAGAGCTGTTTATATTTGCTCATAGCTCTCACCTTTCTCAAAAGGATAAAATAAATTCTGTAGTTTATGTAAGTACACCAATTCAACCTAGCATCCCATGCCTCCTTCCTAATTTTGGACAAAATCTACTTCCAAAAATCTGTTCATAGTTTCAAATATTTTCTTTCAACTTTCCTCTTCCATATTTTTCCATAAACTACCACAACAAATCTTTATTATTCTAAAACACCTTCCATTAATAATTCTTGCAATATTTTTATAAATTATTACACTAAATCTTTCCAAGAAAATGAAAATCGTATCTCACCTATTTCATGAGCCCAACTAAGTCTATAATCACAAGCAAATGTGTCCTTATCAATTTTCCAAATCTTACCATATGTAGCAACATTCCAAATCTTTCTTACAACTGGATCAGTGATACTACGGTTACCAATATTGAATGTTGGAATGAAGGCAACTTTCATATTCACGGTTCAAACACAAAAACTAGATGTTAGATTGCAAGATATTTATTTGTAAAGAAGAATTTTCTTGCAATCCTCTTCCACCAATACCAAAATGACTGCTACATTTCCAATCCCTAGACTTAATCCTCCAGCACTGATCATGCCATAAGCACCATAACATCAAATTACTAGGCAGTGTCATTAAAATCTTCTTTCTTTCCAAGATAGTTCAATTGAATAGTTTGGAGACCATGAACCCCTAATTGATGAGGAATTACTTGATTTGGATGATCATTTGGATGACTACTTGGGATTGTGTATGTGCCTGATTTAGTGCCCAAGTCTGGAACTAATATATGTTGATGCAATTAAAGTATACTTAGATGATAACAAATGATCTTTCATTGTTGCTAATTTTAACCGTTGCTCTAGTTTGCCTCCCGCTTTATTCAAATTTAACGAGAGATATTTAGATTCCATCTTGGTTTCGCTGAAAATAGCACATATTGACTACATTGACTTCATCATATTGTTGAAACTATATTTAACAGTACCTATCAAGCTTATTGAATTAATACATATGCATGATGATTGGCAATGCCTTGCATTGAACCGTCCCTACTTTTATCAATAGGAGAAACCGTCCCTACATTTTTATAAAAGCTGCTGTTTGATCTTCTAAGAAATATCCATTTTCTATTCATGTCAGCTACATGATTATGTCTATCATCTTTCAAATCTTTAAGAAAGAATTCTTTGTGGCCTAAGATATTGATTTAGAAGCGTGGTCATCACTTCTCTCATTTGATCTATGAGAAGTGTCATAAAGTCATACTTAGCCTATATCTTTGTTTCGTATTCCATGTATAAGGATATGATCATCATTTGTTGTATTTTCTTTTGATGTTTTGAATTTTTGTGTTACAAAACCTCATCTAGATCAAAAAATCCAATCTTGTATATTGTTATTAACATTATTTGTTAAATGAAATCATGGTTGCTAAATCCTAGGCCTCCTCTATATTGCTAACCTAATTCCTTGTTCTCTCTCCGCTTGGTTCCTTTTTTAACCTCTCTCCTTATTTATCTATCTCAATCTAAACGTAGCTATCTATAGATGTCTGAAGTTTAGTGGAAACAAGGAGATCTGTTGATCAATCTACTACAATACTTCATCAATGATAAAAAAAGATTAGAACATAAGGGTTTAAACTATGGTGTTAAAATCCAATGAGCATCATATATAAATGA